GAGAGAGAGAGAGAGAGAGAGAGAGAGAGAGAGAGAGAGAGAGAGGAACTTTCCAACTTAAACTACACACAATTTTGGGAAACATTTCATTCGAAGAATGGTGATGCTTGCACGAGGAAGACTTTCTCTTGCAGAAAAATGTAAGGGGAATTTTATTTCTTTCTTTATTGATTTATTTTCTATTTCATTGTTACTCGTGACATATTTTATTTTAATTATTTTATACTGTCATCAGATTATATGTGCGGGCACATATTGTTATCTGGTCTCATGATCTGTTAAAATTGTTTATTTATTCTGTTATTGTTCATCCTTCTTTTTTTCACATCGCCCATACAGTGAGAGAGAGAGCAAAAATGCCCTGACTTGGAATGCAACCCCAGCATGCGGACCCCAGATGGGCAAACCCCCCGGATGTGGGAATGGGCCATAAAATCTTTAAAAACCTTCTTTAGGACTTCATTTATCTCCTGTCATGTGGTCGGACACGTACAAACACCATATTTCCTCCCCGGAACTCAAAGGTTGACGTCGGAATTTCACGCATGCCGCTTTTCGCAAATGGACGTCATTAACGGGTCACAGGGGTGACGTGGGTGGTCGCAACGTGGGTGGGGGAGGGGAAAGGTCAAAGTAATTAATCATTCTTGTCATGAGTACCTCCATAATGACTACTTACATTATAAGGGTATTCTTAAGGCATTATTATGAATGTATAATGCATTATAAAAAAACGTATAATATGTTGTATCATCTCATAAATAATCATAAGAACAGTTTTAATGTATTATAATACTTATTTGTGGTTATAGCGTTTAAGAGTATGATAATTTATAACACACAATGAACACGTTGCATCCACTTGTTACAATTAATTATATTTCCCATAGTTATAATGTATTATATGTCTCATACCTTGCCATTGTTTAAGATCTGCACAATAACTTAGTACATCCTATTAGCGTTTTTACTGTAAAACAACAAACAAAGTCTTCATGAAAACACCCAAAAGGCTTTATAATGTGGTCTTATTATTTATAAGTGGTCTTTGTCCGCTTTAATAAAGTAACTTCACTTTACTTAAAGCAGACAAAGGCCACTTATAAATAATAATAATAATAATATTTTTTTCTCAAATAGCCATAAAATCAGATATCAGATCAAATGAATGTGTTCACATTTGCTTTGAACTATTTATATGGTAATGTCAGTATAGTTATTTTGATGGTACCCTTTAGACAACTGTTGAAGTAACTTTGCAACTACATGTCAACTAGCAGTCATTGGAGTATTAGTAGTATGTCTGCTAAATATCTGCTAACATTTTATTTTGATGGTTCCCCAACAGACATTCTACTGACTATTAGCAACTCTGCGAGTATGTCAACTTATTCTACTAACCCTAACATTAACCTAAGTCTACTAATAGTCTAAATGAGAGTTAGTTGGCATGTAGTTGCAAAATTGCTTATAGTCAATATACTAAGGGGACCATCAAAATAAAATGTAATGTAATATCAAAAAATAAATAAATAAATAAATAAATAAAAAATAAAACATTTAGCATTTTTTTTTCATTTGAAAGTATTACAACTGATCTTAACCCTCTAAGCGCCAAAGTCGCAAAATTGCGACAAGACGTCATACTTAATAAAATAGGCTGTAGATCCTAATATGGTGTAATATCTCATTTGTATTCCCTACCACTAGATGGCAGACATGTAGTACTTCGATTCTAGACCAAAATGACGTCATGTTCCTATTCAAAGTGTTCGAGCAAATAGCAGAGCAAGTGAGCTATCGTGTCATTGATGCGGAAGCAGTTCAGTTCAGAGCGTCTGAGTAAATTGTGAGATTTGTGAGAGAAAAATCACCAAATGGCTAATAAAACGTTGTACCGTGAGGATGTGTTGCAAACATTATTCACCGATTCTGACTCTGAAGGGGAATATTTGCCTTTTGGAAATGACGATCGGTCGTCTAATGATCGCGCTTCTCCCGGTACATCTTTGCAGCGCAATGGTGCCGCCGTGCAAGGCACGAATGTTCATGAAGCACTAACAGCTCTTTGGATCCAGCGCCCCAAAGAGGTGGGAGTGGCCACGGTAGACGTGGCCGTGCTGTGCGTGGGAGAGCCGGGAGACGTGGTAGAGGCAGCAGGGGTGATCTGGATCTAAATAGGGCTGGAAATAGCGATGACTGGCTGGGTTTATTTGAGAAATGAAGAAG